TTGGGTGTGTTTTTCTTGGGTGCTCTTGAGGTTTGTTTCAAGGCAAGCCAAAGAAACACCATGCATGCGGTTTCCCGTTTAGAGGACCCCATGTCAGCGTAGGCTTCCTCGCAAGCGCAAGATGTGAGGCCAAGAGCTCCCACACGCCCTACAGAAACTCGAAGCTGACGATGATGCTCAAAGACTCCTTGGGCGGCGATTCCAAAACGCTGATGCCCCTCGGCGAACGTTGCTGATGCGCCTTTGTTGGTTCCGTGACTCGTTGCAGCTTCTTGCAAAGCTGTGCGTCGATTCGGCGGTCTCATTCACTATTGGCTATTGGCTGACCTGTCAGACCTATTTCCACGGCCATTGGCCGGCTCAATGGGCCCTGTTTCTCTTTTTTTTGGCTGCCATGTGAGCAAGGGCTACATTCAGCTTGCCACAAAATCATATGGCTGTGGGTCAAAACCAATGGTACCATTTTGGGGTAGGTGCACCACCCATTTTAGTCTATTTTAGTGGGGATTTGTTCATTGGGGGTACGGGGTTTTGACCCACGGCATGCCTTTTGCGACCCGAAGGTTGTCCTCTGTCGTTTTCTTTTCTGGCGGGGCCGAGCCATTTTGCCAACACGAGTTTGACACACTGAACAGGGTTCCTTTGAGGATTCATTTGGGCCACACAAAAAGATCAGCATTGCCGGCAGTTTCAGAGGATCCCCTAGTAAAGCAGGTGCAACCCTGACTGAGCGTGGCCTATGTCTGACTGTCTTGAACCAGGCCCCTCACAGGGCCCAGGGTTTTTCTCACGCGCGAGGATCGTTTGCACATCGCCTGCGCAAAGCAACGTCACGGAGAAGCTTGGCAACAGGGGAGCCACTTCCTTTACACACAACATGTGCATGTGTTGGTTGGTTTTGATCGGGTTGCAGTTGCCTTCAGCGGCAAAAAAGAGTCTGACTTGCTCAACTTCTAGCTGTGCAGAGCCTTCCAATTCCCATGTGCCTGCGAGCAAGTTGGTTTGGGTTGCGTGGCGTGGGACGGACTAGAAAGAGGACAAGAAGGGACGCACCACAATCAATCTTTTTTGCCACAAACAAATGCCAGGTGGAACGACAAGCAAATGAGCCAAACATAATACTGCCCGTTGCTCACATGCTGAATTTTGGAGGGACATCGGGGGCCAGTCACCAAGTTTCAATCACAAATGCCAGAGACCAAGGCTTGCAGGTTCGGGGCTGGCAAATTGCTCGAGTGGCACATATCGGTCTTGGACAGTGCAACACCCCCTAAGCTTATTTCCAGACAAGCACCTTATCGTTTTCCACCGATTTGTGTCATTTGCCCAAACAGTCTTCCCACAGCAGTCAGAATATGTACACACACACACACAGAACCGCCAGCCGCATGGAAGCGCGTGTCCCTCGAGCCCAAGGGGTCGATGTCTAGGACCCTGAGCTCCCTGAACTTCGCGTCCCGCGCTCGGAACGTGGAGCTGGGCAAGGCCAGGAACATAGCGACGTGCTGTCTTTGGGCGTGTTTCATTTTTGGGGACCCCCAAGATGGTGGTTTTCCTTCTGGGGTCCTTTTAACACCAACCAACAAGGGGTTTCTTAAAAGAAGCATAACCATTGGTTTAAAGGGATGCTGAAAGGAAACAAGCATGTTTTTAGGGGTTCCCCAATTTTACAAACTCATTTGCTGTCATCCACTGCAGCAAAGCGCATGACATTGGTTGGGAGCATTCACCAACCTACCATTAAATGGTGGTTGCTCACCGGACACAATGACTATTGATCATGAATTGTGTGGGCAATGGAGAATACGGTGGACGGACAGCCAACAGGGAGTTAGGCAACCAACCCGAAGGTTTCTACTGGCCTAGCCATTGGCCGAACCGTGTCTTATGTAGCTGTGTCAAAACCCGCCTGGGGTCCGTCAAACTGACCGCTCACTTCCCCTTTCTAGACTCTATGCCTTACCAGATGGAATCACACGCGGATCTATCTCTATATTATTTTTGCATGCACAATGAAAACTACACAAATCAACAATTCAATACAGATGTCAACAAACACCTAAGTTAGATAGCTAAATTGATGAATGATTTAGTAATTGGATAACAAATTATTCAGTGAATTGCTAAATTGAGAAATTCAATACATAGATCAAACAACTAATGAGTGAACACATGCATAACTAAAAGGACAGATAGACAGATACATAGGCAGGTAGGTAGGTAGGTGGCTAAGTAGATGGGTAGAGGCAGGTAGGTGGATAGGTAGATAGACAGGTAGATATAGATATAGATATACAGGGTAGATAAATAGAAAGATATGTATACAGATGGAGATATGGAGAGAGAGAGAGAGAGACTGAGAGATAGAGAGATAGATAGATAGATAGGTAGGTAGATAGATAGATAGATAGATAGATAGACAGACAGACAGACAGACAGATAGATAGATAGATAGATGATAGATAGACAGATAGATAGGTAGGTAGGTCGATAGATAGATAGATATAGAGAGCTAGGATAGATAGATAGTTGATAGATAGACGGATAGGTAGGTAGGTAGGTAGGTAGGTAGGTAGGTAGGTAGGTAGGTAGGTAGGTAGGTAGGTAGGTAGGTAGGTAGGTAGGTAGGTAGGTAGGTAGGTGGATAGATAGATAAATAGATAGATAGATAGATAGATAGATAGATGCGACTTATGTGTACTTGTATATATCTATATATCTATGCAATAGTACATTTGTATGTAATAATATACAAATATATATATATATACACATGTATACATAGCTCGTCCACTCAGGACCCAGGAACTCGTTGCATGCCGGAGCGTACCGGATTGGCGTGGAATCCGCCAGGCCAAGCGCAACGTCCAGAGCGGCTGAGGCGCGGCGCTGAGTCTTCGGTGGCAGAATTGGGGACTTGTGGGGTCTTCAAAGATGTGGGGAGTAATGTAGCAAGTGCCCAAACAATGTGAACGGGGTGGTGGGGGTTCTTGCTTTAAGCCCAAATTTAGCCTTGATCACAAGAGAATAATGTGTGTGCAATCATTGAACCCTGTATAGTCATGAATTCTATTTCGGGACTCTTTGGTGACCATCGTTTGCGGGGTCATTCATGCCCACCAACTTCCTCCTCAAATTCATTGCCATATGAGTTTGTGCCAAAATAGGGGGAACCCCCTAAATGGTGTTGGATTCCTTTTGGTTTCCCTTTGAAACAACCTTGTTTTGTTGGGGTACCCAAGAAACACAATTTGATTTGTTTTTAAACAAAATGGCGTACGCAGGGGTTGGGCCAAGCTTTGTGGATGTCCTCAAGGGCTTGTAGATGTAGGGCTTGCAGGAGGGTTGTTTGGGAGTTTCCAACTGGGCGGATGCTGAAAGAGTGCTCACTTCGGCAAAAGAGTACCATTGAGGACCAACACCGTGCGAAAAGAGTGCTGCAAATGAGCTGGACAAGAGTGCTAGATCAAGAGATCCACACGTGCCGTTTACAGTTGGAACATCCAGCGTGTTTCCTGAAGGCAGGGTGCGGTTTGAAGGTTGAACAGCCAGTCTAAACCTTGGACTCAGCGCCAACCACAAGAGACTTCTTGGACGCCAACACAAAAGCTTGAAGGGAAGCTAAAGTGGTATGTGCCAAAACAGCAGGAACCCCCCACCCCCAAAAAAGACACAAAGAAACGTGTCTTTTTTGGAAACACCAAGCTGCAAAGGATACCCTCCAAAAAATCATGCACCCAGAGATTTCGTTCGCCCGGACATTGCCACGTCTTTGATGATTGCCCCTCCCCGTAGAAGTCCCGTAGATGCACAAATTCCGCTTCACACCAGTTGGGAGGTTTTGTCCATCCACACATGTGGCACCCCTTTGGGAGCAGCCTGTCCTTTCTGCCATCGCGCGAGAGGAATTCGAATCCGCGCGGAGTTTCACACCCTGTGGGGTTGCAAGAACCGGGTCAGGGTTGGGCCACGAGGCTTCCCTTGTCCCAAAGTTTCGAAGGTCCGGAGTCCACTCTTCAGACCAGACCTTCCCTAAGAAGCATTCACATTTTTGCCCAACCCTCGGCATTCAGCCAGGCCCAGTTTCTTTTCCCGCCCACCAAAGCAGAGGAGTGGCTTTTTCGCGATTGCAACCGGAAAAAAAAAAGGTGGGGCGTGTCAATGGCCGATCGATGGCGACGCGTGCCTTCTTCTTTGAGAGGTGGGGGAGGTGGGAGGCGTGGTGTTTTGCAGGTGCTCCTCTGTTTCTTGACCCCAAAATGCAGCCTCCGAAGGCTTTTGTGGTTTTGCACGGGGTTGTTCTTAAGGAACACCCAAGGAACGATCCCCGCCAGACATGTTGTGTGGGTTTATACTACCGGGACCCTCTCTCGGAGCCATACCAGCCTTTCCGGGAGATAGGGTCTACGTGGGTGGCTGGTGGTTTGTCCCTAGGCTGACCTGGAAGCCAAAGAAAAGCATAAGAGGAAGACCATTTTCAAAAAAAAGCAGTGAAATCTCCGAAGGGAGGGTACTGTACTCTGTTTCTGCATTTTTTTTGCCAGGATTCCCCAGGCTCTAGTAGAAGCCCATCTTAAAGAGGAGGCGTCCAGGCCCAGGACACGATGGGCGTTCAGAAATTCTGGCCTAAGCTTGGTGAACGATAAGCTGTTGTCCTTGGTCCCTTAGCCATTTTGGAAGGATTAAGGGCCAAAAGAACAAATGGGGGGATGGTACCTGCACGGCGCCCTTCCCCAAACATCTTCACTTTGGGGAGTGCAAGGGACTGAGTGGAGGGCTTCCACAAAGATTGAGCTGGGTGTCAAATTTATCAAGAGTAAGTCAAAGTAAATGATTCGGTCCCAGGGATCAGAGAAGGGCCACAACTCCACCCACTAAGTTCCTGCAATCCCTCTTGTACTGGTAAAGTCTGCTCAGGCAGAGAGCGCTTTGCAGAAAGCGCTGGTGCCTTGCAGGGTCCCCACTCCGCCCGCTTGCTTGCGCCTTTCGTGAGATCCGAGGTGCGACTGCACCTGAGCCACGTCGACGCGGAAGGCTCCGCAAAAGCCATGGAGCTCTTTAAGCTGCCGGGGCCTTTCAGTGGAGTGCGTGGCAAAGCCCCAAGTGCGGGAACCTCTAAACCGGGGGTGGCGGGGGTGGGGGTGGGGTGAGTGTCCAGTTTCCGTGATAATTACTGTTAAGGGGGATCCAACCATCGCCTGGTGAAGCTTTATTTTGTTTCATGACTTCCTTGTGATGTTTGGGGTTGTCACCCCAAAGTTTCAATTGGGGAGAATGCAATTCCAACAAGGGGCTGTCTCTAAACAGGGACCACACACACACAAGAGTTAAGTAAGATAGCTCCGCCCACAGTCAACAGGGCTCTTAAAGGCAATCCTCCCAAGGGGGATTAAGGACCAGCATTAGCGTCCATTTCGAACCAGCCAAGATTATATAATCTGAGCCGTGTCTTGGGTTGCTCACCACTTAGCTAGCTCCGAAAGCATCCAAGCAGGATCTGGTTGCCTGACTGGAGTTGTAGCACCAGCCATTGAGCTTCGTGGTTCGCAGCCATCGTGAACTCAGAACTTCCGATGCTCGCAGGTTTCAGGGCTTGTTCCTGAAGGCTATTGGCCCCGCTCGCTGTTTCCGAGTCTCAAAAACGAAGTTTTGCACTGTGGCAAAAAAGCTTTCTCCGATTCATGGTCGCTCAGAATTCCTACATGTCCTTTACCCACACCCTTGACAAAAAAACACATTTGATGTTGAAAACCCCACCTTCAATGAAGAACAGAGCTGGAACCCAGATATATTCCCCATGCGTTTTATTCAGGGCCTGTCAGATCCTAACAGTACAAGCCGTCTATAAAAGCACATTGCCGGAGAAACAGAGGGGACTAATCTGGTGGTGTCCCCTCCTCCCCAGGTTGGACTCGGATGGAGATGACCTGCTGAGCCCCAGGGACTGTCTCAAGGCGTTTCCGGGCTCATAGCGCAGCAGCGAGAGATACGTTTGTCGATCCGGGCCCAGTCTCCACCCCAAACGAAAGGCACAATCAGGTGGTCTCCCGCGGGAGACCCTGCTGGAACCCGAAAACCCCCGGAGCTAAAGCCTTTCTGGGAGAAGTGTTCAGCTGGGGAAACAAACAAGCTCATCTTGATGAATGCACCTTGTTGGAGAACACGACCCCCCAAAACATGCCCCGCACATGCCGTGCTTGACTCATCGAGCCGCATGTGCCAAGTTGACCTGTTCTGCCAACTGGAAGGGCCCGCCTCATTTTGATACACGGGTGTCTCAGAGTACAACATACCAGGACCAAGACCCCCCCCCAAAACAAAAGAGAGAAAATAGAAAGAGAAACAGACACATGGTGGTGCCCACGCCTTGTAGTTGTAAACGCTGCGCGCTTCCACGACCAGGCTCAAAAGAACCACAAGAGCAATGCGGGCTTGAGCAAATGATGCTGGGGTCAGGAACTTGAGCAGCGGCGGCCGGGCAAACGAGGCAGCTGGAATGAGCTGGACTGGGCATGACAGGCTCAGGAGCTAGGGAGTGAGCTTTAGCTCTTGCGCAGAGCGGGGCTGGGCAGTCGACTGGCTTGAAACAGCAAGGCTCAAGACAATCATGCCTGATGGCTTGGGTGACTGAGCCTGGGGCCAGGAGCTGGGGCCAGGAGACCAACGTTGGGGGGGTCGGGGAAGGGGTTTTCACGGGGAAGACCCCTATGATCTAAAGCTTTGTGTGGGTGTGCCGCTTGGGATGATGGGATGTTCGCCTCTTTCTTTGGTTCTGCTTGAGGCTGCTTTCTTTCGTCCTTGTTGGGTTCGGTATGATCTCTCTTCGATGTCTGGTTGCGGTGCTTATTTTTCTTTGCGTCGTCTTTAAGCAAGCAAGCTTCGACTTTTGTTCACGGCAATTTGCTTGGGAAGGCCTCACTGCTCGGGTTCTTGCGGAGGCCTTTAAGGGAGCTGCGCGCGTGGTCAAGGCGCGACCGGCGCGACCGACCGTTTCAAGCCCTCGAACAGGAGGTTCCCCTGAGAAGGGGATTGGAGAAAGATGCCCCGAAAGAGGCGTAATTTCCTTCTCAACAGGAGGTTCTTGCAAAAGGAGGCACAACACCTCCGGTTTAGATCAAGTGATCCATGAGCCAGTTGTATCTGCGCGACTCCCTCGTCTACCTATGTCTAGGGCAGGTCAGGATGCGTTCTGGACTTGTACAAAGGTTCGAAAGTTTAGCCTTTTTCATCGGGTTTGAAAGCATCGCCGCCTCCCCTTCTCATGAAATGCCCCTCCAATGATGCTTTCAGTCCTCGTCAACACTCCTCACTCCGCCCTTTCCTGCGTATAGAAACAAACAACATTGCGTTCTTTCCCATGACAATTCACACGACTCGTTCGTTGGCGAGTCTTTGCTTTGCCTTGATTGGCTTTCGGGAATCCAGACACACAGGGCACTTAATTGCCTTCGACCGGCCCAATTTTAAGTAACCATTGGTTTCACTTCCCTTTTGGGATGGCAACAAATCCGCCCGAAGCTATTTAGAAATAAGTGGGCCTCAATCCCTCGAAAGCATCACCCCCACGAATTCTTCTAATTCACCTAGAATCGGGGCCCGCGGTTGCAAATGCTTCTTTTTGGTTTGCCTTTTCACCAACCCCCAGCATTTGTGAAAGACGGGTTTCAAGATGATACGGCCTTTTTTGCTTGGCACCCGTTTGGGGGTTTGATCAAGGGAAAACCGAAAGTAGGCCAAGCAGTTTCTGAGATCTTTCTTGAGCTAGCTTTACATTTTGAGGTTGATTGACACTCATGCTAGTCTGGGGCCGAAATCATGCGGCTTTCCCACAAAAACCTTGGCAGGAGCGCCAAGAGCGGGAAGGTGGGCAGCAGCGCTTGAGCGCCTTCCTTCGGCAACATGGCGAGGGCCTTGGGTTTTGCGGCGTCGAAAAACTTGAAAACGAGTTGGCACGTGTCTTCATCACGTCAGAGGCCAGAAAAGCCAACTATTTGATTCCAGGTCTTGTCCTTAAATGGGAGTAGCGCAGTCAAAGATCCATGAGATTGCAGTCCAAGATCGTGCTGGTCTGCAGGAGCAAAGTGGAAGTGAGCAATTCGTGGAGTGGACCTCTGGTTCCGACAATGCTTGCTCTCCTCCACTTTTCATCCAAGTAACATTGGGCACTTCGAGTCCGCTTTTGGAAAGCAGAAGAATGAGTGCATCTCCTGGGGCGGTGCGGACCATGTCTTTCAACCATTTCGCTCTGCTATGCAATGGATGCGCATCGATCCCAGTATTGCTTAGAACGATGATAGAGCACCGGCTTGGATCGAGTTGCTGCTCTTCTCTATTGTTTTGCTCTGTGGCAACACCACCTGTCTGCTGCTGCGCGTGTATATGTGGAAAGTGCCATTCGCGATGCAGAATCTTCGGATCAACAAGGAACATGTGGGTGTTCGTGACTTGGACACTTTGCTAAATGGAGCACGCATGCTATGTTCTTGCATCTCTTTGCGCGACGACGCTTGCGTTGCAAGCCTAAGTTTGACTTGGTGGTCAACCGTTGTGAAGGTTCAGTCTACGCCTTTGTTTGTTTTTTTACCTTCCAAGGTCTTGTTGAGGCCTTATGTGGAGGAACTATCAGGGGGCTGGTGGCGGACGCTGCGAGTCTCAGGTCTGCCGGATGACATGCGGATCCCCCGCCACAAGCGGCTGGGCGGCGATCAGTACAGCCGCGCCCTGTCGCTGCAGAGGCGCCGGGGAGGCGACAGAGCGCCCGACACCAAGGGTGAGATTTTGTGGCCAAAGCTCACAGAAGCCGAAGGTCTATGCCGGACCTCGCCGGAAAGGCAAATCTTGCAACACCTGCCCAAAGGGGCCCGTTCTACCCATTGCAGTGGGCCATTGTCTGGGAGTCGGTTTGATGGATTCGGGTTCCGGGGCCCCCGAATCGAATCGGCAGGTTCTTGGTCCAGCGCCACGGGAGCTTGCACGAGGCGATTCAGACGATGGACTCTTCTGGAATAGGCAGAGGGGCAGGAGAAAGGGAGCCAAAACCGTTTCCGCGGGGGGAAGGGGGCGAGGTGGAAAGGGAGTGAGCCAAGCACTGAAGGCAGGTGGACTCCTGGGAAAGAAGGTACTAGAGGTCCAACTTCCATCTTGAGCCAAGAGATCTTCCTGGGGAAACCCCGGTGCTGTCGCCAGGCTTCGTCAGCCAGGCGGACTTCGTGCGAGCAATCTTGTCCGAAGGCTACTGCGTCTCTGAGTTGGAGGCTGGGTCAAATCTGGAGTTCGGGGACCCGTTTGGGTTCTAACGGGTTCCCAGTCCGGATGCACGTGACTGGTTGGGATTCGGAGCGTTTTGGTATCCTATTTTAAGGGAAGCCAGGGTTGAAGCCAAGCTCCCAACTGCTCTTGGCGAACCAATTTGCAAGGGACCCAAAACGGACCCCCCAAGCAAAACAAACAGACCCAATTTGTCACGACATCTAGACTGCCAAGCTTGGACGGGCCAAACAAATAAAACAAACCTATCATTTGTTTGGTGGTTTTGGAGGCTGAGGGAAAAGCCGCCCAAAAACAGATTAAACAAGCAGGCACCAGAGGGGGTTGTTTGGTGCTGGTTGTTTTCATTTTACGGAGAAGTTTAGAGCTGCTGTTTGAAGCTTGGGTTGGGAAGCTGGCGGACACACAAGCACTTGATTTTTTAGGAAGGGAGCCTTTTCGTTCTTTTCTTAGGCCACCAGAAAATAGCCAGGGACGAAAGGGCTACGTTGAAAAGAACGATGGTCGGCGAGCTAACCTGTCCCAAACCTAATCCCCAATGATTAGCGGATTACGGATTGAGCGGTTTACGGAGTTTTGGTATAGGACACCAAACTACATTGTGAGGGAACTGCTTTTCAGCTTTTTAAGGGGTGTTTCAAAAAAAAATAACACGCTCGGCAGCCCGAAAATGACACTAGGGCATGTGAAAGGGCCCCAGTAGGGTCGCTTTTCCATAATGGAGTCGTGGATGCCTGGTACTGGTACGAGGCTTTGTTAGGCCCACTTGGAATGGCGATAAACCGCGCGGAGATTAGGGGGTTTACCAGCTAAAACGCGGATTAAGCGGATTACGGATTGTGGCCCCCGGGGATTTCGGTCCATATAAATTTACAGTCATGCATGAGATGGTCGACAGAGAGGTAGTACCAGTTTTATGGGGTCATCAACCCCCAAAAACCAAGAGACCTTTAAATGATGTCCTTTAATAATATGCCCCCTGTTTGGGCGGTTGATACATCAGCTTTGAGTCATGCTGAAATGCATTTCCTTTTAGGGTGATATTGAATTGGGGCATAACTTTCCAAGCTTTGGTATGCTAGCAAGAAACTTTGGTGTTGCAGTCCGCAACTAAAATATAACAGAACCAACCAATCGAAAACGCCTCAAAACATGCCAACAGCAGAAGTTGATACATCACTTGTTGAGTCATGGTGAAACACAATCTCCCTCGGGGGCGAGACTGAATGGGGAGGCAGGTCCAGCTAGGTCTTTAAGTAGTACCTTTAATGTTCAGTTGATGGGACTCCTTGAAACACCAGTGGCGTTCAAAGTCGCCTTCGCGTACCTCTTGTCCTCCAGAGAGGTTAGAATAAGGGTACCAACTTGTTTCTGTCTATGTTAGTACGGAAACCCTTCCACTGGGGGACCTAGTGACTCGGTGTGTGGACAGCTGGAGCAGTACTCAGTATCCCAGCCGTAGCATTCTAGCGGGAGCACTGCCCCAGTTGTCCAGTCAGTGGTAGTTGTAGCGCGTTTCGTGGTTTGCTTCCTCCAGAAATCAAGCTATGAAACCAAGGTGAACAAGTCTCCTTGTCCAGAGTAAGTTGAATCACCCCTCGAATTCCGGGTGGGGCTTACGAAGGAACCAAGGCCAGGAAGCAGCATATCGCTTTCATGCCCTCGCCCGAGAAAATACTTATTCGCCACCTACTGCCTGGGTAAGATTCTGGATCGACCTCACCAAGGGATTGTGTTTGCGACCGACCCCTTGAGAAGCTTTTCTTCCGTTTGGTGAAATACATCATTAATGCTCGAACTGTAGGGAGGAAGAATGCACAATGGAGAAAATGGTTGCTGGCCAAATTCAGGAACGCAAAAACGGTCTTCCTTTGGTTCCCTCGAAACCGAGGCAAACAGGATACCGACTCCAAAAGACACGCCAGGCCAAGATTCGCCAAGTTACCCTTGGGGTTACCCAAATCGCCAGCTTCCCAGTTTGCGGACCTTGAAGAGGGATCTGAAAGGAAACCGCTGCCTCAGTTCGGGGTTCCAAATCATTCCCCTGGCAAGGGGGTTTCTCACAAAGTCGGTCTCCATAAAACGGCAAGCCACATCTTGAGAACTCAGATGAACCGCTGGCTTTGGCGCCCTTGTACCAACAAGAAACGGGTGGCTCGGGTGAATTCCGAAGGCCGAGGAGCTCTTCCGATCCTACGATCCCTGGGGTTTGGAGCTCAACCGCCGCTTCGTTTCAGCGGCCGGTGGGTTTGCTTTTGTCAGTGTGCCAGGAATCCCCTTAAAATGATGGTGAGCCCCCGGCCCAAAATTCGGATGAATCCGAAGTTGTCATGATGTTGCAGGTTCAGGTTCACTAGATATGGGCCAGAATCAAACATGCCACTTTGGGCAGAAGCTGAGATGCAAACGAGTACCCAGTCATGGAAGTGGACCGGCGGGTTTTACATCATGATTATCCAAAACCCTTCTTTCTTCAATGCTTGTTGGAAAGAGGGTGTGAATTGGAAGAGCAATCCAAGGTCACTGGTGAACCAACGAGACCAATCAAAGGAGAATATGAGTATGAGCTGGGACCCCTTGGTGACTTCATTTACATCCATGTTCATTCCAACCATTTTTGAGGGTGTTTCAACCCCCTCTATCAAAATTCACATCCAAATGAGCAACTGATGGCCAATTTGCCTTTTTCCAATGTTCAAGCACATGGACCATTGCTGAGGTTGGATTCGTTCCTTGAGCTTCACAAGAGCCTGGTTCTGGAAGATAGTGGCGTTGCCATTTTCTGTGATACCAAGGGAGTTTCCTGGAAAGTGATAAAGGGCATGGGAATCCCACTTTGGTGTCGCAGAAAGGGTTATGTGCCACAACCATGCACATGAGAGGTGCCCACCATAGCCTTTAATTGGCCAATGCGGGCTCCGATGCCGATGCCGATGCAACCTTGGTACCCAGTGGCAAAGCATCCACGTGGTTTGCAAGTTGCTCATGCATCGCTGTGCGTATGCGCAAGCCATGGTTGCTCTATGGATGAGTTGCAAGAGGTTGTTACTACCTGCGTGAGCCACGGACAGTATCATTAGGTAGTCCCCACATCGTCCTTTGTGCGGGAAGTAGGGAGCGTTGGATAGTCCGAGCGAAGCCATTGTAAATTCTAGGGATTCTAGGGTTTTCTCTCGGCAGATTGAGCTCTAGTTGAGATGTTTGGGAAAATGGATCAACCTCAGCAGGGGATTTGGTTAATGACAAAATCACACATCATGAAGGTTAAATTCATGATTGTACTGATGTGCCCAGACATGTGGCGTGTTTATAAAGTGTATGGAGATGGTTATCAAGCCACTAGTAGGGACTTTAGATAGCCACCAAGACAGTCTATTGAGCGAACCATCATCATGAGCCACACAAGGAGTAAGTATGGAGCCATTGTTAGGAGGGTAAAAGGATTTCATGCTTAGAGTTAAAATTCAACCTCAACGGTTGATCATTGCTTTCCTTGGACAACCAGCCACAAGGGCCAGCTTGGTTTGCACACGTCGGCCGGATGAATGCATTTGTGCGCTGAGGCAAGGGTTGGCTGCCACTTCAGCGAATGCTGGAGTACGAGGTGGGGCAGGGCATGTTCCGCAATAGCGGACAGGAGTTGCCCTTGCAAGATTGTCTGTTATTTTGCTTTTTGGCTCTTTGATGTCCAGAAAGGGGATGCTGTTCATTTGCCCCTTTGATTGAACCCCCCAAATGGCAGTTGTCCCGTTGGTCTCCCTTCAAACCAAGGTGACAAGGGTACCCTCAAAAACTGCAAACCCATATCGGGACGCTTTCTTCTTCCGGCTATGGGCTGCCAGCGCAGGTGTCTGGCATCAATTGGCTGCAGCCCTCGGTACACGCAGCCGACGGCTCAGATGAGCAAGTGACATTACTTCTAATATACCTTTTTTTCAGTTTTTGGGGCAGGGTTTTTGGGGCAGGGTTCCCCTAGAAAAAAAATACTACAGAAAAAGGGTACCCTTCTTCCTCCTCTCTACTGGAGGACCCAGCTATTAGGTCACACTGTCAGGTCTACCTTGTGAGCAAACCAACCAAATGCTGGACATTGCTGGACAACAGCTTCTTGGGGTCCCATGTTTCCTCGCCCATACGATCTTGGTGATCTACGAGGGAATGGGGGGACATCGGTGCCCTTGTGGGCCAAAGTGGGGTGTTGGGTTTCACTAAAGGGCCTTTCGAGTTTTGGTTCAGCAGCCAGGTGCAAGAGCAGCCATTCTTGAATCTGGGGCTGTTGTGTCCTGGGTGATCCAAGATACGGTGGAGACACAGCCAGGTGCAAGAGCAGCTGGCACTCTTGTCACATGGGGCCGTCCTGCGAATTCTGGGCGCTAAAATCGTGCAGAAACAGGTGAACAACTAATGGACTGTTATCCGCCTAGACCTCCAGTACTTTCCTTTGTTCATTTTTGTTAGGTGTTGTTCCTTCATACTGCCTTTTCCCCTTCACTCCATCCCATCACGTTTCTATTTTCCATTTTCTCTAAACTACCTGGTTCCCTTCAAACCATCCTGGTTTCCTTTTTGGAGTGCCAAAGACTTCCACATAACACACTTGTATGCTTGGATCTCACCTGGCTGTGGGTCAAAACCAATGGTACCATTTTGGGGTAGGTGAATTCACCACCCATCTTAGTCTATTTTAGTGGTTGGATTGGGATGATCACACGGATTGCGATTTGGATTTTGACCCATGGCCACCTGTATTTTCAGCTCCGAGGCATCGCCGCGGACCTCCAAGGCCTCGCCCGGCGCCTCGCCGCGGACCTCAGCCAGGCGTGGGCCGAATGGGAAGACAGCAGCCACGTGGTATATGGGTATGTGGCAAATAGGGTGGCTTGCCTTTTGGTCTCCGGTAAAAGACAAAAACACGGGTGAAAACGGTAGAATCAACAAAAGGGACCCTTCTTTGGGTCATGGAAAATGAAACGGGCTCCTCCGGTTTTGAAATACGGGAGTAAGACAATCACAGTACGGCCCGGTCGGGATACTTGAGAGAACCATGGCCCTTTTTTTGGTGGGGGCCTGGGGGCTTTCCCTTTAAACGCAGCCCAGAAGGGTCGCCCCTGGGAACGAGCGCGAGGACTTCTCCGCGGACTTCCCCGCGGACTTCGCCCAGAGCTTCGCCCAGGGCTTCGCCCAGGCCGCCTAAGCGGTTGGTGGACATGACTCCCCACCTAAATGAGTTCCACCAGAGGGTCCCTTATTCAAATTCATGACTCCCACCACCCCCGTTTGTGTCATCTAGGCCCTTATATATTTCCCCCTGCACATTGACGCGGAGCCCAACCTTGTGTATAATGTTGACCTCGGATTAATACACTGGTCAAATTCATAGGGGTTGTGTTCCCCTTTTCTACAAGGAAACACGACTCCTATGAATCAACCAGGGGGTTTAGCACTAGAGATCATCTCGTTGTGGCGGTCCCAGGTTGTGTAGTTTCATATTGATCTTCACGAAGTGGTTGTTCATGGACTATTTCTCTGCCCTTTCAAGGGCACTCCCTTCGGAGCGCACCTGTAGGGTATTGTTTTTTTTTTTGTCAGCTTGGCCTGACCATTTTTTTGGTGTGTGTGGTGTGTGGGGCCGCAACAAAGAGGTTTTGTTTGCCCTCCGATGCGAAGGGTGGTGCCCGGCTGCTCTCGGGTTTGCTGACCGTTTCTTTTGGAAGTTTCCGGTAGGCTGACGTCTCAGGGGAACTCCATGAGTGTTTCCCAGAGTCGGACTCGAGCTGGCTGAGTGGCTGGGCTCAGCACCAAAGCCTTGCAATGAGGGTGTCATTCAAGACCAGCAAGGCACCCAAAGATGCCTTGAACACCAGGACCTGGGCCAAGGGGTTGGAGAATCCGAGTTGGTGCGGTGCAGGGTCCTGCTTAGAGCTAAAGAAGGTGACGAGCTGTTTGAGCTGGAATTGCGCCAAAGGGCCCCTTCTGGTTCACTCGTTCAAAAGCTCACCATCTTGTGCCATCATCAAAGCGGTCCAACAAGGACGATAGTTGTCAAAGGGAGACCCTAGAATTTAGTTTGGGGCGGAAACACTGCTTATGTCAGCAGGGGCCATCTCCACCTTTTCTCAGGTTGTCGTTTGGACGTTTCCTTTCCACTTTCTGGACGTATTTGGAAGTTCAAGGTGGCCAATATAACATGGGAATCCCTCTTTCGGTGTGGATGAGTTGTGGAAGCCATCTTGCTGGCTTGTTCAAAAGCAACCACTCTATTCTCCATGTGGAACTCTTGGACCCTTCACAGGTCACTCGCCCGCAAGAAATGATTTGTTCTCTAAACCTTCCAAACCAAGAGACACTGGGCAAAACACGTGGCAGACTATGGGACTCCTCGGGAATGTGGATAGACAAAACATATTTTGCACTAGTTGATAGTTTTCCCGCTATTCATAGGGCTTCATCTATCCCACCCTGTGCGAACTGAAGTTTGTCCCTCCACAGTATCACCACCCATGCACTATTTAGACCCACTACTTGCCACCCGGTTTGTCCATGAGGTGATTCTCCATTCTCTCCTCCATTCTGTCCATCCGCAGTATCTAGGTATATGACTATATAGCCCATGTTTAGCTTTCCCAAAGAAAAGCAAACAAACAAAATATGAGAAACCCCACTTTGGGATCGACCTCTTGCAGACCTGACAAACCCAATTGACCGGGGGGCCCACAGATTTCCCGGACTCTTCGCGGTCCCTCCGCGAGGTCGGCCTCGCCCTTTGCTGGGACCCTGGAGCTCAGCGAGAAGCACATTCTTTCTTGGTGTGTGAAGATGCGGGGGAAGCGGGGGTTGTTTTAAAATTATTTTTCTTGGTTGGTTGAGGGGAACCAAAAGGAAAGCCATCGTTTTGTAGGAAAGCCACCATTTTGTAAAGGGCCAGTTGTCAAAACTAGGGGTCGTTCAAAGGTTATCCCCTTTAAGTGGCCTTGGCGGCAGCGCCAGGCTCCCTTCAATGGGACCGGGCCCCCCCTCTCCCTTTGGGATCGGGCCCCCCGCCCTCCATGTGGATCCATTTTGGAATACATTTGTTTGACCCAGAGAGGCTGCGCCAAGTCTTTTAACTAGATACAACATGCACATCATACTATCAATCTTTGAGAAGTGTGGGGTTTCGGACGTTCTCTGGCGCAGGGAGAGGAATGGCCAGCGTTGCCACGGCTGCTCTTTGTTGAAGTGAACTGCTTGGAAGCAATCATGTTCCCCCTTACCATCAAAACCGCACCGACACCCTGTTCAGCACCCAAATGTGGATGTAGTTTCGGGCGCGGGCTGTGAAAAAGAGGGCCCCATTTTGGATCCTAGCTAAAAGACTACTGATGTTCACAACTTCTCAGTTGAAAGCACGTTTCGGCGCAGCAAGAAGCAAGGGGGCATTGTGGCTTTCAACTCGAGGACCGGTCCACTTACCGCAGCGGCGGAGGCAGGTGTTTGTAGAACTTGGGGTTTGGCACGGTCTTCCGTGTGGGATCTATAGATCCGGGCGAATCCTTGCTAGGGGGGGGAGCACGACCTTCCATCACCAGCCTGACTTTGGGCTGATTCAGCCCGACAGATGCTGGGCAGAAGCCATGTGGGCAAGCTTCATACCTTTTTGGAACCAGGTGTCACAGCCCGAGCATTTTTTTGGCCACGCCACAGGTCAGTGCCCTCTTTGCTTTTCCTGCCTTGAGCCGCTGAGCGTTGCCGGTGAGACTGCAGAGCAACCATCTCCACTGGGCAAGTGAACAACCACCTTCAATGGCGCCCGGTGGCTTTTCTGGATGCTTCCAAGTTGAACACGAACTAAGACCCATAAACATGTGCCCTTGTTGAATGGCTTGTCAAGGGGATCCCAACCACGGGAGCTCGTTTTGGTTTCGTTTATGATCATGACTCTGACAGTATTCAACCTCATGTCCCATATCAACAACTGGAAGAGATGAGGTGATGCGGGAATCTAAGATGGATGGTTTCAAAATGGTTTCTTTTTCAAAGCAGGCTGTATACAATTAAACAAACAAAAAAACGTCTCCCCCAAAAAAGACGGACTCCCCAACAAACATGTCTTAATCTTATGTGCCAGTTTTGTCAAATGTTGAATTACAAGTTCCGAAAGCCAAGAATCGTCAGGCAGAGTGGTTGGTGGACCTAAACTCCCACCGAAGGGAATGTCTGCCAAGGGTCCGCAACTAACATACAGATCCAAATCTGTTAATCGAGATTCGTTCGTCCATGATCAGTCTGGCTGGGACATGGGGGACCCACTGAGTTGCCCCTCAAATCCAGGCACACACACACCCACACCCACACACACACCCACACCCACACGCACACGCACACGCACACGCACACACACACGCACACGCACACGCACACGCACACGCGCACGCGCACGCGCACGCGCACGCGCACGCGTACGCGCACGCGCCCGCGCCCGCGCACGTGCACGTGCACGCACACGCACACGCACACGCACACGCGCACGCGCACGCGCACGCGCACGCGCACGCGCACGCGCACGCGCCCGCGCCCGCGCACGTTCACGTGCACGCCCACGCGCACGCGCACGCGCACGCCCACGCACACGCACACACGCACACGCGCACACGCACACACGCACACACGCACACACGCACACACGCACACACACGCACACACGCGCACATGCGCGTGTGACACGCGCACGCGCGCACACGCACACACGCACACACGCACACACGCCCACACGCCCACACACACACACACACACACGCACGCACACGCGCACGCACGCACGCACGCACGCACGCACGCACGCACGCACGCACGCACGCACGCACGCACGCACGCACGCACGCACGCACGCACGCACGCACGCACGCACGCACGCACGCACGCACGGGCACATCACGCACGCACGCACGCACGCACGCACGCACGCACGCACGCACGCACGGCACGCACGCACGCAATCCGCACGCACGCACGACAAACGCACGCACGCCACGCACGCACGCACGCACGCACGCACGCACGCACGCACGCACGCACGCACGCACGCACGCACGCACGCACGCACGCACGCACGCACGCACGCACGCACGCACGCACGCACGCACGCACGCACGCACGCACGCACGCACGCACGCACGCACGCACGCACGCACGCACGCACGCACGCACGCACGCACGCACGCACGCACGCACGCACGCACGCACGCACGCACGCACGCACGCACGCACACGCACCCACGCACGCACGCACGCACACACGCACACGCACGCACGCACGCACACACCGCACGCACGCACGCACTGCACGCACACACACACCACGCACGCACGCACGCACGCACGCACGCACCACGCACGCACACACGCACGCACGCACGCACACGCACGCACGCACGCCACGCACGCACGCACGCACGCACGCACCACGCACGCACACACGCACGCACACACGCACACACGCACACACGCACACACGCACACACGCACACACGCACACACGCACCCACACGCACACACACACGCACACACCCACGCACACACGCACACACGCACACACGCACACACGCACACACGCACACGTACACGCACACACGCACACACGCACACACGCACACACGCACACACGCACACACGCGCACACGCGCACACGCGCACTCGCGCACACGCACACACGCACACACGCACACACGCACACACGCACACACGCACACACGCACACACGCACATACACACACACGCACACACGCACACACGCACACACGCACACGTACACGCACACACTCCACTACTCGCACACACGCACACACGCACACACGCACACACGCACACACGCACATACACACCACTTCCACTACTCTGATAGTTTGGGCTTGTCTTCAAAGGACCCATCCGTGTTTAATGAGGACAAAAAGCAACAACCACAAAGCAGAATACACCAGAGCAAAACCAACCGCTATGATCGCTCGCATGACATAGGGATTTCAGACCATTGCAAAGGCTCATAGAGTCGGCCTTTGACTTTGATTGTTTGCCATGAGTTTTGGGTAGAGCTCCTCAATTCCCCAACAACGGCCATGTTCAAAGATTGCTTTTCTATTCCCTGGGATTGCACGCTCGAATTCACTATGGCTATGTTCGGGCAGGTCATTTCTCTAGGTATCCCAAGGTTGGAGGCTTCCAGGTTCTGGCCAACAAAGGTTGCCCCCCGCCCAGGGTTGTGGTTGATCACTCGGGGTTTATCCAACCACTGTGATACTTTCGGGAATCTCCCCGGCGGCTGGTCTTTGGAAAGCTCTTCTTGTATCACAGTGGATTCCATTTCCCACCCCCAGCCTGAGACTCCCCCTCCCATGGAAATCCAGGAACTTCTTGCCTCGGCCTGAGGCGCTTCGCCCCGAGAGCCGGAGGCCCGAACCGTTGGCGGGTACCCTTCTTGACGGGTATGTTTTAAAGGGAAACCAACAGGAAACGCTTCCCTTTTTTGGAGGTCCCCTTTTGAGACCCCATATCCAAACTTTTAAGCTGTGTAGGGCACGGGGCAAGCTACGTGGGTCCAACAAAGTGAAACTGGATTTACCGTGGACTTGGAGCGAACATGTTGAGGGGTTGCTCCATTTAGAGTGCCATATTTCGAGGATGGTACTTCGCACCCAGTTGAACTGACTTGATCAGGGAATGGGTTCATTCCCAAGACCCATTACTGAGAACCAGCAAGACTTCGGGGGGCAAACTATGGCGACCGAAAATCCATGAAATTGGCTTGCAACCAAAAACCATGATGTGTGTGTGTGTGTGTCTCTGTGTCTGGTCTGTGTCTGCGTTTGTGTCTGTGTTTGTGTCTGTGTCTGTGTGTGTCTGTGTGTCTGTGTGTGTCTGTGTGTCTCTGTGTGCGTCTGTGTCTGTGTGTGTGTGTGTGTCTGTGTGTCTCTGTGTGTGTGTGTGTCTGTGTCTGTGTCTGTGTGTCTGTGTCTGTGTCTGTGTGTCTGTGTGTGTGTGTCTGTGTGTCTGTGTGTCTGTGTGTCTGTGTGTCTGTGTGTCTGTGTGTCTGTGTGTCTGTGTGTCTGTGTGTCTGTGTGTCTGTGTGTCTGTGTGTCTGTGTCTGTGTCTGTGTCTGTGTTTGTGTGTATGTGTATGTGTATGTGTGTGTGATTGGGTTTGTGTTGTTGTTTTCAAGTTTGGTCCGTGAATTCTTGTAACTTACCGATCTCTAGCGACCTTTGGTGTAACACAAGCTCCATGATGAAGGCCCCATTGCTCGGGGACCAACTTACTCAACATTTGGATTTTATGAACATGAGGCTTACGAACCTCCTTGAAGTGGTTTCCGAGTTGGGAGTATGGATGAGGGAATGAAGCAACTTTAGGCTTTGCTGTTTGCTGATTCCTTCTATCATTCGTTCTAATTATTTTTTTTACTGCGAGCTCACCTGGGCAACACTAGCGCATGAAGGTTTCCTTGGGTCCTCACAGCGCGGCAACTTAGTATTTATATGTCTCGTTCAGCTGGAAACGTGGTACGGAGCGCAAGTGTTGCAACGGGTTTCCTCTTTGGGCCCAGGTTTGGGTCTGGGAGGTCAAGAGCAACCTCCACGTGGGGCTTTTGGATTCGCTCTGGATGGATTCAATTATCACCTTATTATGGCCTGATACCCTGATTGAGCGTGTGTTGCTCGGAATCTCCTGAACTAAAGACAGACCATTTCAACAAGAGGGGTTGCTTCCCCTTGTTTTTTTTCACCACAGGGGCCGAAAACGATTGGCCGCCCTTTGGATGAAAGCAACCAGACAGTGATTGTGTTTAGTCCTGAATATACGGCACTTACAACCCGCTCGAGGGAAAATTCCTATCCAGAATATGAACTGCTCGGGTACATACCTGACATGGAAACTACCAATGCTCTTGGCCGTGGAAGAACCCGGAAGTTGCCGAGCTTCCGAGGTCTCGAATCAGGAAGTGCCGGAGCGCTGCAATGAGCTGGGCCTCGCACATTGCCTGCTGCTCACGGTTCAGGCTTCACGCGGATAGTGTGACCGGCAGCTGGCACAGCTGCGTCCCGCGACGACCGGCTGCGAATCCTTCACTCCTTGTGCATCCAGCCTGCATCCGGTTTCAACCAACGGTCCAGAAGCGTTGCGGCGGAGGCCACGAGATCGAGGCCAACTGCTTGCGGGCTGTTGCTTCCCGTAGCGCCCACAGGCAACGCCTGAATATAGAGGCGGCCATGAGGCGGCCACACATTTCATCACAAGGGCGAAAGGGCAAGATAAAGCCAAGAAAGTGTTGAATCGGTTGCTAGATATGGAGCGAATTTTGAACATACAACCAGCTCAAAAGTAGTTGGTGGACATGATCCCACCTACATGATGCCCATGGAAGGGTCCCTAGCTAGACTTCCCACTAATGTGCTGCCAAATATGTTGCCAAACATGCGAACCAGGCCAGAAAAGGCCCAACATGCTGCCAAACGATTTGCCTACATGCAGGCTAATATGTTGCCACATGCGTCGCCACATAAAGTCGAAGAAGGTAAGATATGTGGCAGGGCGGCAGACGTCTGGAAGGGAGTGTCCCTCAAGATCTGGAACCAATAACTCTTATTGTAAACCAATGGTCCAGACAGCCAGGGCTGGTGTTGTTTTCCGGTTTTGGAGGGCGCTTCTCTTTGGCATCAATTACACAAACAAATGGCTACCCAGTTGAATAGGAAACCACCCGAAAAGTGGGTTGCTGGACATCAGAAGGAAAGACCTGGCCCGCCAAGAAGGTTGACCGGTTGACCCAAAGAATGGGACTGGCATTCCGCACGGTTGGGAGTGAGGGCTTGGTTGCCGCTTGCGTGACACGGGGGAAGCTCCCGTAGCGGAGAATTAGGAATCTGTAATCCCACAACCCACAACTCTTTTGGCATCAGAGGTTTGGAATCCAAAATGAGAGAACTTCCATTGGCATCACAGAAGTTGCAATTCCCAGCAACCCCGTCCCGCAGGCCGCGCCGAGCCTCTTCTCGGACTTCGGCCGCCTGGATGGGCCTTTGCCGCCCAGCCCCAGGCCGCTCGCTCGATTCGATGGATCGGAAGCCGAGGTGCGTGGATCGCTCCCCACGGTTTCAAATGTATTGTCTCTGTGTGCTGTTGAAACAAATGTTTGTTTTTTGTATCCTTGCGGTGAACCAAGCATGTGACATCATGCGCTCAGGTGTATTGTAAACGCATCGCGTTGCCCGCCTCGGCCAGTCCACTTTTGGCTGGCTTTGAGGTAGAAACTGTGCTTCAGTTTGCCTTGAAGTGATGTTATTAAAGTGAGTGAGTCGGCGCCGAAGTGCGTGAGCTGGTTTCCAAGCTAGCAGGTGGGCGCATGTCTGCACGATTCCACCTGGCTTCAAGGGCCAGACCGAGAGCCGCAGAGAGCTGCAGAATGGCACCGCCAAGCGCAGGTCCAAATTTGTAGGGTATTGGACGGCTTTTTTTTGAGGATTTTGACGGTTTCTAGGGGGATTTGACGAACCAGCTTCCAGGCTCACGTCAGGCGGACTGGAGGCAGCTGGAGCAGGGATTTTGGCCGCGCGACATGGGGTCGTGGGGGAGACCAATTTTGGAAAAGAGGTTCTGAGTGGGTTGTTTGGTGCTGATTTTATGCAAATTTTATGTTGGCTGGGTTGGGTTGCGTTGGGTTGAGTTCATAGGTCTCTTATGTCCCCAGAACTATTTTGGCTGTTGGAGCCAGAGTCAAAGAGCTGGAGCCCTGTGATGGAGGCTGTCTGGTTGCAGATGTGAACTTTAAGTGTGCGCGCATGAGAGCACGTCAAGCGATCACGGGAGCGATCGTTCTGTTAAGGGGATTAGCCCTGCACAGTCTTGCAATCAGAAAACACCAAGCTTGAGAGGAAAACAGCCACACATGCACACAATTTGCTCATAAGCAACAAGGCAACAAAACAAGGGAAAGGGTGGTGGGTTGGGGGCTGGGTTGGTGGGGTTGGTTGGGGGGGTGTTGGTCGGGGCTGTGGGGCACAAGTCCATTGCTTGTAAGCAAAGAGCATGGGGGAATGGGTGGCACAGAGAAAAGAATTGGATCGTCCCCTTTGCCACCAACACTCCACTCTTTGTATTGGATGGTCGTCTCCTGTGCGCCAAACCATGTTTGCTGGTGACTGGCGAGAGGGAGGCCTAGGGTAAAATACACCAAGACAGCTCACCAACCAACCAAGAAACACCAGCCAACAGCTCACATGACCTGAAACCAGCAAGACAAGTGTAGGAAGCAAATCCAATGCAAGAACAAACAACCGCCCACCAAAACCCAACCCACCCAATTTAATTCAACCCAACCCAACCCAACTTAACCCAACCCAACCCAACCCAACCCAACCCAACCCAACCCAACCCAACCCAACCCAACCCAACCCAACCCACCAATCCACCGACCAACCTACCAAGAAAAGCAACCAGTCAACAAACAACCTGAAGCTTTGTCACAACCTGAAACCAACCAAGATACCAGCAGAAATCAAACCGAGGAAATACAAACACAAACCGACCGACCGCCCAACCAGCTGACCAACCGACCAACCGCCTAATTGACCACTCAACCAACCGCAAGCGACCAGCCGACCAACAGTTCAACCGACCAACCCACCAACCAAAAAAATAACCAGCCCAACGACCAACTGACCAACCGCCCGACTGATCGCCAACCACCAACCACCCGACCCGCCAACCCACCTACCAATTAACCGAGCAACCCGACCCCCTGAGCACACCCCCCAACCCACCGACCCCCCGCTCTGCCCCGAACCCCCCCACCCCCACTTTTCCACCCACCCCTTTGACAGACTCCTTCACCTTTGTGCGAGGCGCCAGGTCAATTCCCCACGCTCCGGAACGCGCTCCGCACGCTCCGCGTCGCCGGTGCGCGGGCGCCCAGCGCAAGTGCCTGCTATGCCATGTAGCCGGCATCCAGAAGTTTAAGAAAAGCCTGAGATAAGCCAACGACCTACTGCGCATCTGGGCAAGTTTCATGAGATCCTTGATTTCCGCTTCTTTTTTACGGTTGCAGTAAGTCATTGGAGCCCAACAAATCGGTTTGCGCAACCTGACTTGAGGAGCCTTGGCACGCCCTGTATCAATCCGGGCTCCGTCCGAGGCACGAGCGCCTTTACGTGGCGGGCATCGGCCACAAGAGGCCGATCGACAGGAAGACTTCGGGGGCAGTTGGATTAGGGGCAGGATACATCGGGCTAGTGGTTAGTATAGCCATGGTTAGCATTTCTTACCGTGGCTCACATTTCTTGGCATGGAGAGACCAAGCAGATTGTAACCAGGGTTACTAACCACCTGGACCGGACCTGCTGAAAGCGCTGTAACATTGTCATGGAACCCAAAAGGCGCAAACGCAGAGTCCTGAAGAAGTGATTTCTTTTGGGTCGCATGATTTTTTGAAGGGCAGTAGTCAGTACGCCAGTACGCCCTTTTTCAACTTACTTGCAGGGATGTGAATTGGAGCTTGGCTGGGGGTTGCTTCCCATTTGGCTAAGTCCCAGACCTTTCAGACACCCCCCGTTTTGCCCAGTTTCCTCAATACTTGAACCAAAGCATGTTTTGTTGGTGGGAACATTTTTTTCTTGATGAAACAAAGATACCGGATAAACGAGGTGGATGGGCACGACCTGCTCAGCTGATTTGGATGACTACCCCGGCTCATGACTGGTTGCTCTCCTGCAGATCTATACTGCCTATGCTGAACTACTCCTGGTGCTGGAGTATATCAACCCCGGTTGTGCTTGAAGTCTCCTGAGCGGTGGAGTGGGGTTTATGTGGAGGAGCTGCTTCAACATGGGGATTTATGGACCGGGGTTATTAGCCACTGACTATCGCAACATTGGCTCGTCGCATTGACGGCGACCTATGGACCGTATTTGCATGAAGGTCCTCTCCTGAAGGGTCCGTTTGATGGATAGGTGAGAATGTGTCGCAAGAAGTCGGACGTAGGGGCCCTTTTCAGATGGTCGGTTAAGGGACTCAACAGCGTGACCCGAGACCTTCACGTAAGGGTTGTTGGAATTTCAAGCATCGGTTTCAGTCCTTCGGAATGTGGCATGGAGTTTTAGTCGTGTGCTTCGGTTCTTTATAGCACTAAAAACACCGTTTGGTTTCAACTTACCCGGGGAAGAGGAAAGTGGTGTGAAGTGATCAACATGACAAAGCATAGACGGCAAAATTTACACAAGGTATTTTACAAAACAAACCCAGGGTTCCCTTGAGGGGTTCCCTTGAGGGTTCCCTTGAGGGGTATTCTACAAGGTTTCCTTGAGGCTTCCCTCGGTTTCCGTATGCTCATGACCCAGGGTCCTGAAGGGCGATCCCGATGCCATCCGCACGGCCTACCACAACCTGGATCAGGCAGGTCGAACTTCGAACCGGCCGGGTGGAGGAGTCTATCTCCAACGGGAACCCGTTCCAACAAATGACAATGAAAGGGTGGCCAAACAAACAACTTGTTTGACAAGTTGACAGAAGGAAGCCTTCAAAAGGGGGTGCAGTCAGGTTTAAGCCGTTCAACAGTTTGAACCATTGTTTAAGCCACTATTACTTCTTACTTGCTTAAAACACACCACATGGCGTGGTCATGTTCATTTTGAAGTTCGAAATGGGTTTATTTCGAGGTAAGACCGTGCATCTACGGCGCAACAATAATATTTGGAGCAATGTGCCCTGGATTCCTGCAACGACTTCCATTCCACATTCTAACTGTAAGCAGGACCTCAAAATTTAGGATTTACCCCACGTACCCATTGATGTAAAGGATTTGTTGACCGACCTCACTTGACGTGTTCATGTCAAAGGAATGTGGGTTCCGGCAACCTCTTGCAGGGCTATCCTTTGAGAACTCGTTACAAATAGATACCCACAAGAGGTGTAGGCCCAAACGGTTTGGGCCTGCAGATTAAGCCTCCTTAGGGCCAACTCAGCTTCCAGCCAAGTGGCCAAAAAGGCAAAGCAAGGCCCCCATCAGTGGCTTTGTTTGACCAACTATGGCCAACTAAGTGGTCGACTGAGTACCACCTAAGTTTCCAACCAAGTGGCCGCCTCTGACAACCAAGTGGCCAGCGGCCATCCCTCAGTTGGTCCTTTTGAAAGCGTCTGCGCAGGCGCGGAGCCTAATGGAGGAGATGAACAAGAAGGCAAGTGGTTTCTGTTTGGTTCCCAACTACCCAAAGAGATTCCACGGTTTTGAGAACCCTCCATATCTTCTGGCAAGCGGGTATGAGTTAAGACAGCCAACATGGATGTTGGTTTTCCTTTTGGTTTCCCTTTACTACCACACCAAAAGGGTACCCTCACAAGAAAATCCCCCCCCCCTTTCGGCATGGTTCCGTCAACATGGGACAACTATACATGAACCTTCCAATTCCAAACATGCTCCTATTGGTCTTAGCACTGGAAATGGCACCCCAACTAACTGCCCCTCGGCAAATTGTTAAACGGGCGCGCTGATTCGGGGGTTAACCCAGCTCACCCATGAAGGTCCATTCGCGTGCCTTGTCTCAACACGGGAAACGAACCCCCTGCCCTACCCCCCAAGAATCATGGGAGGCTGACAGGAGGGTTTCGCAAAACTACTTTTGGGGAAGCCCCTGTAGCTCACTTCCATTGTTTAAAAGAGGCTAGGTGGATTGAATCTTGATTTCTATTCAAAAAACACCAGCACAAGAGGGGCGTGCCCCACAAAATGGACGCACCTATTGGCATGTTTGGGTGACTTTGTTTTTTGCTTGTTGTTGTCACGGCTGGTGCGTGTCCTTACCAATTTTACATTAAATTAAATGTATTTTACAACAGTCCTGTTCAGAATGTTACTCTTCTTATATTCACCGCCCATCCCCTTGACACATACGATTTGTTGAGCACCTTTTCCAGGTTGACACCGAAAACACCGCCACCAAGTTCGGTCCCCAATCTCTAGTTGGAGACATGGCCCATGGCCCATGGCATGGCTCTCTGGACAAAGCAAAGTGCGTTCTCGATCCCAAGCCCACGAACACTTCCACTGGAATCGAATGTTGGTCACGCTACTCGGTGTTCATTTGTCTTTGCCGCTGACACTGTTTTTTTTTTTTCTAGAAAAAGTCCCCGTGGAAACCCAGTGGAGACTTAGTGGAGACCAAGTGGAGACTTAGTGGAGA